GGTTGGCCTTTAAAGTCGTAATGACCTACGTTTTAGAATGGAGAAGTGAGGACCTATCGGAAAAACATTGCAGCGATATTTTTTAGGGAGCAACAGTTGAGTTTGTTTGCTTTTTAAATTCATGCTTCACTTWGCACTTAGATGCATCTGTTATCCTTACTGTGTATACTTGCTAGAAGATCTTTAAATAAACTGTTGTAGTGTGTTGAGAGGATYGAGGGTAATTGGAAAAATATGGCCATGGTTGTTAATTCTGAAGATCCTGTTTGGATTAGTTTGGATGTTTCTACAAGACATTTTAATAGGATATGTGTCGGCGATGGTTACTGCATCAACAATTTACTGTTACACTTGTCTGTTAAAGACATGTGGTTTAGAGCTTTAAGGAAATGTGGACYTTTCTTTCACTGGCAAAATAAATGGAATTGATGATGAACAGTTTCTGCCACGCACTGTTCTGTATCTGTAAAATGAGATTATGTGGAGTYCTGAAGAGGACAGGTAAAAAAAGTCTGTAGTTTCTACTTGCTCAAGTAGCAGACATCAACTGTTAATGATCTTTCTTTGTGGTTATTATTTGCTATTGTCATATTTGAAGGCACAACTGCTAACTTAATTTTGTCTGGGAATTTGTGATGAGCCTCAAAATACAGCCTGTATTTTTCCAGTAAATAAATGATGTGGCACTTAAGTATTTCTTTTATTAGACAACTTTTTCTGAAGGTGAGAGGGTTCATGTCYGTTTCTTGGTAGTGCTTCATGAAAGGTTAGGTTTTTTGTGCCTTTCGAATCTTTTTTTTCTTTGATATGTTATTATTCTGTTCTATTCAGAAACTGAGGCTTCAAATGACTGAAACAGAAAGACCAAAGGCTTGGAATGAGTGTTTATAGGGCTAGCTGGATGTTCCCCCGAGATTTAAATTTCTCTCCTGATTCTGCTACAGAGTTACTATGGTCTGATAAGAAAATAATCATAGATGATCGTTCTGTGTGTTTTGTGTATACGCATCTAGGACTTCTTTAGCTGAAGCCCTCGCAGGCACTGCTTTGAGTAGATGTATTGCTAGCAAATCTGAAAATCCCGTCCCGTTTCTCTCCCTATCATGGCACTTAAGGAGCATCTGTTGTAGGTCCTTGCGGTCTGGTGAGAAAGTCTCCCTACAGCTTCAGACAAGTTTGCATGTGTCCAATAGTTTTTTTTCTACCTGACCKAATAAAACCTAATGATGCTGAACTAAGTATGACTCACTTCTGATATACAAATACTTTGTAATGCATTTCTTGTTTCTTGCCTCTACCTACGTGCTCAGGAAATCAAAACTTTGTTCAACTGTTAGTTTGTTATATGGTCAAGAAAGACATCGTGCTTTGTACAGGTATCTTACAAATAATACTTCATCACGCTGCACAAATTGTATTAAGTGTGCAGCTTTATCAGTCTTAATTATTAGGCTAGCTTTTGTCATTTCCACTGTTGAGGCCGCTTAACACCCAATATCTGTAACTGGTATAATGCCTTAGTCATATCTCCACTTTCCTAAACACAACTTCTTGTTTTCATCAGGTTTTGAGCCTTAAATCACTGTTGTCAACAGACAGCTTCACATCAGGGTACAACTCCTAGTACTTCATTCAAGTTTGCTGATAAGGCCCAAGCTTCAGTGCTCAGTCAGTGAGCAGCAGTCAGTCTCCTGATGGCTGTTCTTCCTGGGATATTGATGGCAACTCCCCAAAGCTGTGTGCCCTGGCATTCTTACCTTATCAGGTGTAGATATTCGGGCCATTTGTCAGTGGTGGACTATAAAAGCTCCCAAAGAATAAGGAAGCTAAGAATCAGTTAAGGTCTGCAGTGCCCCTCTCTTGACACTTAAATCAACCTTCACAGCATGGAGGTGGGTCCAAAAGTTGTCCCATCTTGCATATTGAGGTAGCCTGGAGAAGGACGGTTGCCTCCATGGCAGTTTTAAGATGGTGGATTCTTCACTGTTGTTCCTCTACTGCTGGTCCCATTTCATAATTTGTGGGCTTTTTATCCCCTTTACCTACTGTGACCTGCTATCAGTGCTTGCTCCCTTCAGCGTGGTTGTCCATGTTCCCTGGKGAATTATGGCAAGTGGCTGGGGGTTGGCCAGTTTTCTTAATGTTCCCTTCCTTATCACACAGCTCTCAACTGTTATGTTGTTGTATTTACCATAAGGACAAAATGCCAAATACGCTGCTTTCTAAATCAACAGTTTGTTTACTTCCCAGTCTTGCTACAGAAATGGTAAATATTTGTCTGGGGTTGGAATTTCACCTACAGTCCTAGCTTAATGCAACCATTCCCACACTATAGGTCTGTGGCCTCCTGCTCTCCTTGCTTTACCTTCCTCCTACAGCAACACATAGGATGAAGGACATTATTTCCTGAGCTTCCACTACGTGTCCTAATATCCTGGTGATTGACTGATGGCAACAAACTGGCTTTGGAAATGTGTGTATGTGTGTGTGTTTAGTACCTGCTACGAGTCTGTAGGTACTGTGATCTCTTGTTTCTCTCCTCATAGCCTTAGGCCACGTTTCTGAGTCACCTACTACCCTTTGATTTTTACTGTATTTAGGTAACATTTGATTCCAATCCTCTTCTGCTYCTTTAAAAAAGAAATTATATTGTATTTGTTGCATTAAACCCAGAACTAATTTAACACCTACACACCTGCAACAGTTTGGTGTGRTCAGCAGGATGACAACCTACTCACGGAGGCAGGAGCTGAGCACCAAATGGGATCACAGTCATTGATAGGATTGGAGGAACTTGGAAAGGCAACCGGTTTGAGTTGAGATAAAAGTAAGGAAGGGTGGCTGAAATAAAGGTGTAGTTATTAAAAATGCTGGGAGCCTGTTTGGAGGTAGCTTATGCTTATASGGCACAGCAAGATAAAGAACTAGCTGCCCTGCAGGTCCTGTAGCAGCACTGACTGCTACTGCAGATAGGAAGTGAACACACCAAAGAACAGTTGGAGATTGAACCTCTAAAGGAGGGCAGTAGAAGAGAAGATGGAAGTTATGCTGATGAGACAGTCTAAAACATCTGACCTTATCAAAATACACCAGCTTGGGTGTATTCTGGGTGAATCCCAGAAACTTGGGATGTGGCCTCTGGTTTGATAGAGATAATGCTCAATGCCTCCCCCGTCCCCCAGTGGAGAATGGAGAGGGAGATATGGAAAATGATTTGTTGATTAAAAAGGACAACCGCCACAGTAAAACATGAAATCACTTCGAGACCCCCCAGGGAGGCAACCAGCAGGAGGCTACTTGGACCACGCCATTTGCACCCTTGCAGCTAGTAGATCTTCAGGAAAAATTCTTTTGGAAGCCTGGAGAAATGGAAACAGAATGGGTAATAAAAATAAACAAACTGGGAGAAGATGGAATAAAACAGAGGCCAAAGGATGCYGGGGACCACAAGGTTTCCTCACACAAGGCTCTCCTGTCAACCCTGCTTTGCCAGGGTGTCACCTTTACTTTCTGACTTTGCAGCTGTCCTCTGAGCAGGAGAAATCAATCCCTGTGCACACAGGGAGCTGTTAGTGATCCATGTCCACAGTCAGGTAAAAGGGATGACTAGGCCACTTGCCTATGTTGTACCCAGTGGACTTGGCATTCCTGAAGCCATTGATAGAAGATCACATMATTCCTTGAAGGAATTCCTTATTCCACACTATAATAGGGCAATCCACAGTAGATATATTGTAAAGAAATTGTAATGTGCAGATTGCATTGGCCTTTTGGCCATCAGAAAGGCCTTCATAAACAACTRCAAGTATTAATACAAAGATGTAATGAAAAGTAAAGGAAGTAGTGTGCAAGAATAGGTCAATGTAGTAGTTGTGATGGTTTTTGAGACTGCAGTGCCCAAGCAGAGAAAACAGCAGGTGAAGGACGAATGACACAGGCATGTAGGAATGTATTTAGAAGAGAGTGGCCATTACGAGTGGGCACACTGAACCAGCCATATAYGAAACAGCCAGGCACATGGATCTGTAAAAAAGGCTGTCGGGAGCTGCGGCGAGTCCGTGGGTGCCTTGTCCTTCACTGACTGTATCAACCTTGACCTGCTCAGAGCCTGTCCCTGAGATAAGGAAGGTGGATGAAGAAGTTTCGAACTAGAAGTGCCAGGAAGACAAAGGGAGCAGAAGCTACGTGGGAGTTGGCGCAGGCCAGTGGCCAGCCAATGGCATCAATGTTGCTAGGCAGGTCAGCGTTAGCCAGCCAATGGCATCCATGTTGCTAGCTGGGTCAGTGTTAATCAGCCAATGGCATCCATGTTGCTAGCTGGGTCAGTGTTAATTAGCCAGTGGCATCCATGTTGCTAGCCGGGTCAGCAACCTTGTGATGAGCGAAGTGTCAATAGAATAASGATATGATGTACARGGTGGGGGGGTGTTAAATATGGGAGTTTGGGTAATAAAGGGGTTTCAGCTTGATTCACATMGAATCCKGTGGAGTTCATGGGTTCTTCTCCTCACAGGCATTTATCAAGTATAGCGCTTTTGCCTTCTAGAGGCTCATTCGGATAGTCATCTTAAACGTTCTTCCAGGAGAAGTGCTTTCTGCTGAACATCACTTYATTTGTACTTTGCTGTATTACAGTTATATATAGTATTTTTTAGGTTGCGAACGCAATTGCAAAATAAACAATGTCTTAATCAAACTAATAATGATAAACTAAGCTTGTGTTCCTCATCTATAAATTTTGATAGTGACAAGAATTTAATTTCACTCTTAACTGATTTATTTAGACCTTATAGACTAAATTGTCTTAGCATGTGCTTGAAGTGAGTTTTTTGAGTGTATGTGTGTTTAATGAGGATTTTATAATTACTATTAGCTGATATTTTGTCTGTTTTGGTTTATACATTCCAGAAACATAATTTAGATGTTTTGAGTATTTTAAATTGCCTCAACAACTACCTAAATCAGTGAGGTGTTTATTATGTACTCTGATTATTTTTCAGAAAATATCCAGTGTAATATTGGCAGTCTGAAGTCTCAGGCTTGGATACAAAAGACAGTCTTCTCGTCTAAGATTCATATGTCAYTGTAAGTATTGCTTCAGTGTTGTTGAAATTGGATGATTTGTGCTGTTGCATGAGGAGTGTTGTTGGGCTTTCTGTTGTTATTGTTTGTTTTCTCGTTTTTTTACAGTTTCATTTGTAACTTCAGTTCTCTATTTTGTTTTTTTACTGATGTAATTTTAGAGTAGAGAAAGTAAAGGAGAGAATGAAAGGCAACACAGCTCTCCCTGAAGGAATCTCTATGCCTCTTGGAGTAGCCCCTAAGTGTCTGGGGTTGGCTGCTAATGTTGAGTTTAAAATCAGGAGGCACTTAAAATCTATCTTAGAATGGATCTATGTTAAAATCTATTGGGTTCAATTGTACTGAGAGGAACTTACGGAGGTATAAATGATATTACTGCTTCTAGGTAAAGCTRTGTTTGTTTGTTGTAATGATTTCTGATTTGCAATCCTGAAATAATGATTGGCCTGAAGAAGCTGGCTCAARTAATTTTCAAAGATCATTTGGAGGTATCATGCTCATCCAGCTGGGCTTGCTAGTAATCAATATCCTAGGTCTGAATTCATGAGTTATGGAGTATAACTCCTCAAGAGATATGCCTTTGGCCTGCTGAATGACTAAATATATAATGCAGTGTTCCCAAAGTAGGGAAGGTTTGTTGTAGTTAACYGTAGAGTCTGACTTGGGAGTCTCAAATTAGCCAAGAGCTGAGCTCAAAAAACTGCTTAAATATCAGGGAGGAGAAAGTGACATGTAAAATAAAAATGAGCAGCATTAAGTATTATGAAAGATGTTTACTAAGCCCACATTCATTTTCGCCATTCTTTTGTTATATTTTGTTGTATTTCGAGGCATACTTGTGTTACATTATCTTAATGCTTTTGCTCAGAGTTTAAGCATTGCTTCTTGTATCATCTCATATAGGAATGCATTGTTTTTCCCTCATTTTGTGATGAGAAGGTTAACATAGCACTGTTAAATGAAGAAGCTGAATGGCARTAGGATGAGGGGAATAACTGGAGGGATTGTCTGGTTATTTACCAGACAATCAACTGCATGCTTGTTGCCATTCTGCTTTGTTGTGTTCCAGTTTACTCAACTTTACATCCCTGATAGCCGTGGGATGGGCCAACGAGGTTGCTGTTACATCTAGCAGTTTCAGTTGAACACTTCTGCTCATAATGCACAATAAATTACCTGTCACTAAGTGAAATAGAAATAGATCTAAGTTTCACTTTATTTTTTAGAGCTTTGGTTTCGGCCTGAAGAAAAAGAAACCTAGGAAAGATGGACTGGAATGTGGGAGCACTCCAGAATGCTGATGCGCAGAATAACTTGCAAAGTCAAGAAGCGTGTTACACTCAGGTGCTTTCCAATGCACATGTTACCGGATGCAATTATACTGGAAATAACCAAATGATGTTTCTGCCAACTAGCAATATGAATGTTGCCTTCACTCCTGTAAACGCCGAAGGATACAAAAATCCAGAGCAGACCTTTTCAGGAGCATCTGTAGCCGGCAGTAGCTTTGCTACCTCAGAATATTCAGTTGATCAGTGTCCCCCTTCCCATGTACCATTAGCAACAAGACCTCCTAGCCACGCACCCCGCGTGCAGGCACAGATAGTTCAGAATCCGTGGCAGAGCTCTAAGGCACAGGTTTATTCCCGGAGGAAGTTAGCCCCATTTCCGCGGATGAACTCTGGAAATAACGTACAGACCATTCCTCGGGAGCCCCAGAGTCAGTATGTTGCCACGAATGGTTATGCTACACGGCCACCAGTCCCACAGCTGAACCCTGTGAGAACCACAATGTTGTATCAAAGCGGTCGCGAATACCCTAATGCTCCCAAGCCGGGGAGGSCCCTGTCCTATAACATGAATGGCCCTGCTGCTTCTCAAGACATTTCAGGACCCATCAATCAGTCATCCGCTCAGTACGTGCGTTCCCAGAGTAATTCTTTGCCCCATAGTACACCTGGACAACATGTCCAAAACCAAAAATATCATCCAAGTCATCACTTCCAAGTTCCGCACTCGCAGAGTCAAAATAATACTGTAAATGCAGCACTGCAGCAACATGTACCAAGCCAGATGGCGTCAGAAACTCGTGGTGGATGTTCTGCACCACCTTTGCTGCCTGCCAGCTGTGATTCGAGAGTTGCAGCACAGCCCTTGCTAGGCATTCAACAGGCAATACAAAATGTGCCCGCTGGATATACCCATAACCAGCAGACGCACCYATCAGACCAAACCAGTGCTGCTTGTTTTAACAGTGGTCAGCAATACTGGCAGAAACAGCAGTCTGGAGAAGTTAGCCAATCGGGTAGAAATGTCTGTAATTTGAGTGGAAATGTGACAGCAAACCAACCTTTTAATGAAATGTCCGCATCATCTCCTGGCATTTCCGAAATATTCTATAATATTGTGCAAGAAGCAGCAAATCCACCAAATAATACTGCTTCAGTTCAGGAAAGCCAGCCTCCTAATTTAATGAATGCACCTATTAATACTCAAATGCCTTCACTGACAAACAGTGGAACAAAAGTTACAAAGGAGAGACTGGTTTGGGAAGCGCAAAAACTGCTTTCTATTAARAAGAAGTGTCTCCTGCTCGAAAGGTTGTTTCAGTACAAAAAAAACCTGCTAGCAGCTTCAGAATCTGACAAGAGTACTTCCACACTTGCTCCATGTTTTCAAAATACTGTTACGAATTTTCTTTCCCAAGTGCCCAATCAAAATGTAGCACCGTCCCTGTCTGAAATGGTGACGACAGGGAATCAGAAACACCCCATTCTAAACTCTCCTCCTGGAGAAAGAAGTGACAGAAGCATGACCAATGTTGACAACGTAGGATTAGAGATGACTCCAAGTAATCATCCAGTGGACCAGGGAAGCTTTTCATCAAACTTCCTTCCCCTTCCTGCTCAGAATGAACTCCCCACTCAGTTAAATAATCCCGAGAGAGCTCCCATCTCGGAACCAAAGGATGTGCCATCCTTGACCTCTTCTCAGAAGACACCGACATCCTCTGACGGCACTTCACGCTGTGGTCAAGCTGATAACCCTTTCAAAATGGTAGGAAAGAACATACCGCTTAAAGCTGGGAGCTCATCATTCCTTCAGTTTGTGTTGAGCAGCACAAATATTTTGAAAGAGAAGAAAGCTGGAGCTACTGCAGATAAAATACTGACAAGTCTCCTTTGCAATGAGAAGCCTCCGCTAGGTGTAATGGGCTCGGATGGAAGCTTATTACAAGACACTACTGAGAGGAACGTAGAAAATTTGAGAGATGAGCAGGCATTTTTAGTTCATACAAACTCTCCTGTTGCAATGGGGTCTGATGAAACTAATTTCCAGAAAGAGGTAGCCCAGAAAAAAGCACTGTTTGTTGAAAATTCACCTTCTGAACAAAACAACTGCACGTACTCTGTGGAAGAGCTAACTGCGTGCCTTGGCTTGTGGAGAAAACACGCTTCAGAACCTGCGAATGCTCAAAATGGTCCAGCAAACGAAAGCCCCGTGGCAAATCCAACGTTACTGTTACCTTGCACTCAAAACACAACAAATAATAGAGAACAAATTAATGTTTCTGCTAGTACAAACGAGGCAGTTCTGCCTTCAACACCTGTTCCTGTAGGGCAAAAACATGAAATGTTGTGTTCCAATTTGATAAAAAGTTTTGAGCTCCAAGTTGCAGTTGTCTCTCCTTTGGTGCTTTCTAATCAGAGAACACAGAGTGAAGAGGCAGACGTATTTCCAACGTCAACAGGTGTAACCTACCCAGTGATTGAAGCGGGAAGCATATGTAGCTTGCTAAAAGAAGGGGAAAATGTTTTAACTCTGGTAAATACTGAAAAAGAAACGATAGAAACTGTTCCTTCATCACCTGATGACTGTGTTCTGGTAGAGAAAGTGAACTTGGATTTGCAACAGATCAAATCAGCTGATGGAAATGAAGTCATTGAAAAGAGTGTCAGTGCAAGGGATGCATGTGATACAAAGCAAAGGCAAGTCAGCAGATCCGTGCAAGAGGTCAGGGAGAGTCTGCGGCTTGGATTGCCAGGCGAGTCTTCACTTCCAGAATTGGGTATGGATCCTTCTAGTCAAATCTTTCAGGAGAATATAAGTGACAATAAAGATAAGCAAGCTGTGTTAGAGCAAGGAAATGCTTCCACGGCAGTGTTGAAAGACGTGATTCATATTTCTAGTGTCTGCTCTCTTGTTGAAGGTGATATATTCTATAATCCGCAAATAGCAAGTATCTTCAACTCGGCTCCTGTGACAAATACATTAAATAGCAGTAGCTCATTAGAAGATAATGCAGGTGACACAAAGCAAAAGGAGCAACAGCTGCACTTGAATAAAGATGATGTAGGCCTGAAAGAAAATGTTCTCCTAGGGGAGGGCTTTCTGCAGATGACATGGGAAGAGTTGCCAGGCTGTATGAGCAAAGCAGATAAGATTTTGGATGGTAGTACAATTAGCAGTGCAGAGAAAGCAAGCAGCGGGGATTCTCCTGAAACACTTTCTACCTCAGAGCAGAACATGTCCATAGATGCATCTTGCAAGTATCCCAAAAATGATCTTGAAAATCTTGCTAGTACAAACCTGGAGCTAACTCAAAACTCACAAGATCCATCACTTGGTGTAAGTGCTGAAACAGCCGTGCTCACTGTTACAGGAGACAGCAGCAAGCAAGATTACGCATCTGGTAAAACCAGTGTAGATGAGGATTTTGAGGATTCAAATCTTTTTGGAGGAGAACCTTTCAAATGTCTAAATGATCAGCTGGCTGAACTTGTGAAAGAGTTTCCATATGGCATTGAAGGTGCTGATACGCAAACAAAAGAGCGAGTACAAAGTGATTCTGTGGTTGAGTGCACCACGAATCAGCCTCAAAAAGAAACTCGGACTTGTAACAAAAGTTTTGATGCAGTAAATCAGGTACAGACTACACTCTTAAGGTCTGAACAGAAGCAAGAACTGCTTCCTGAACCCAACCAGCATTCCTCCAGTGAAAGCCATAAAGCAACAAGCCAAGAGGCAGAAAAAGATTCAAGAGAGAAAGAGAACCTTGAAAGCAATATTCAGTCTGGTCAGAGCCTATGCAAAGAGAGAGAAAAAMCAGACAAAACCTCAAACCCTGAAAGGGAAAAAAAAACTTATTGTTGTCTAATGAGTTGGCTATCTGCAGAGTATGCAATGCCAAAGTGCTCCTGTACATGTAACATATCTGCTTCGGAGAAAAATCAGAGTGATCATCAAATTTCAGAAGCTGGAAGTGCTATTTCTAAAGAGATAGAGGAAAGCAATAATAAATCTGATTCCAAAACAACGATGATCAGTGCAATGGGGAACCAGCCGACTGCAACATGTCAAAACGATGTTGGCAAAAATAAGAAAGGTGTGAGCAAGTTCACCTCTGTAATGAACAAAGAAGCGAGGACGAAGGTGAATAATGAGTTCACACCCCTTGCAGCACAACAGGACAATATTAAACCACTTAATTCTTCTGAAAAACAAGACTCTGATAAATTGAGCAGAAGCAACAGCAAGGAAGAGCTGCAGATCAATAGAAAAAGCCCCTCATTAGGGAAGGAGTCTCATTCTGCCAAAAAAGATTATCAGAATGTGTCTAAGGAGGAACAGTCATCAGGAAAAGGTGGTTGTACAGACGCAGATACTACAGTGTTGCTCCAAAAGAAAGAGAGAGTTGGCAAGATTGAGGCTCTTTCAAACGATAAAACTGAAATAGGTGCAGCTGTGAAACGCAAGAYGGACATTCAGAAATCTAAAACCTCAGAAACTGTAGAAAGTCAGCATTCTGAGGTCTGTCAGGAACATAAGAATAAAATCTGTGAAGAGAACACCGGCAAAGAAGAGAACTGCAGGAAACAAAAGGACAAACTTGGAAAAGAGGTAGGAGTTGGCATCAGAGGGAAGGTAAAATTACCAGTGGAAATAAAACATAGAAAGCTGAATAGCTATCGTTCTGATGCTGTTAAGTTCCCAAATTTTAGCAATGTAGATTTAAAGTCAAGAAATCATATATATTCTCAGCATAAGTCTATAAAAATTCTTCCTTCACAGGAGAGTTCATACAAACGGAAGTGGAAAGAAAATATTGTTGGAAAAAAAGACCCTAAGAGAACAAAGTTGGATGATGAAAAACTAAAACAGTCTGAAGCAAAGAATTCTGAGCAACTTTTGCATAATCAAATAGTAAATCCTGACAAGACTGAAAAATCCATTGGAGAAAATGTCAGGAAACGTAAGAGCTCCTTAACAGATCACTCTGTCCTTAAACTACAGAAGAAAATGGGACAATCTTCAACCATCTCTAAAAACTACTTTTGCAACAAAGAGAGACACCTTGATGGTCAGAATAAAGACAAGTCTTCGGAGAAAATGTTTTCTGATAAAAACCTGCTATATTTAAATAGAAGAAATAACAGATTAAAAATGTACCTTCAAAAGGAACCAAAAAAGCACTATCTGAACAGAGTTGCATTTAAACGTACTGCTCAGGAAAGCATTTATCTGACCAAATTGGAGACATCACCTGTCAGACCTGTCTGGCACATGAAGCCCAAAGCATCACAGAAAACCCCAGATCGAAAAAGAGAGGCTTCTCTCTCAGAAAGTGAAAAATCACACAAAGTACTTGAATTTAAACTCTGTCCAGAGATCCTGTTCAGAAATCCAGCTCCTGATGAAGAAAGCTCAGCTACAAAGAATACCCTGGAGAGGGATAAACCTCTCGTGGCAGGTATGATGTGTATATGATTTTCCTCCCACTTTCCAAACAGTGTAGGCACTGAATAGTTAAGAGTAGGCTGAGTCCTGGATAGTGATAGGTAAAGTGTCATTTGTTAGTGTTTTTATCTATCTTGATTATTAATTTGTTTCCCTACATCATTAAGAGACCAATGCAAGCAAAAAAGGAAATATTTCTTTCTGGGTTGATGTTACACAAATCTACAGATAATGCAAATGTGGGGTTGTAGAAGCTGAAGGTTGACCTTGTTTAGGTACCTTTCCTTCTCCAGCTGTTTGTTAAGMTGGTAAAGAATTCAAAATCCTTCTCCTTTTGTATTATTCCTTTTCCTTAAATTTTACAGAATAAAGTTAGGGAAGTTTAGGACACCGTAGTCTCAAATAACTTCACAGAAGGCTCCCTAGTCTACTTGTAGAAGATATCCAGGCTTGTTTGCATTGGACACTTTCCCTTGGCCTGTCGCAGGAGGTGATCTGGTCCGTATTCAATATAAGCCTGGCTATGGGTAGGTCTGCCTGGGTAGACAGACGAGGAGATACTGAGGTATTGAGGAGAGGAGAGGGCTGCTTTCTAACTGTTGTAGCGCTTTCTTGACCTGTTGTGACATTTGCCATCTTTGCTTAAAGCCTTCCCCTTCCTCCTCTTCCTCCCTCTGTCTTTAAAAGTTTTAACAAGTGCTTTGGTGCTTTGTGAGGCATAAAGATGCCCCATGCTCTTTGATTAAAAACAAAAAAAAATCTTAGGCTGAACATACAAACTTTTGCAGTCACTTTCACACCCAGAGATGACTTGCTGTGTGCTAACGTATACATGATTTTTTTATACTAAGTAGAGACTAATACTTTTCCTATAGGAACCTCCAAAAAAAACCAAACTTTAAAATTCTATTTTTAGGTGTCAAGAGTAAAAAAGAAGATTGGTTAAAATATGATCCAGTGAAGCAAAGAAAGCTGGAAGGGACCTCTGCAGGTGAAATGACTCATGATTATCCATTTCAAAATAAAAGTTAAATGTTCTTTACCTAAGTGTTCCTTTATACCAGCAAGTATTAATGAAATATTTCAATTTGTTCTTTGCTGGTTCTGTTGCCCAAAAGGACAACATCAGCTAGTTGTGTATGGATTTCAAAGATCTGTGGAGAGTTTTATTTCCATAAGCGTGTGTTAATATGTTCTCCCACCTACACGTGTGCAGTTGAATCCAAGGTTGTACTAGTGGTACTATTTGACTGCAGCTTAAAGATGTAGATAAAGCCCAAGCTTCTTACTTCCTACCTTAAAATATAGGAAGTCCTATAATAAAGCTGAGACTTTAAAGACAAAATGATTTTTGTTTTATTTGGCCCTGTCAATAAGTGGACACTGTCTGCTCATGCACCCGTGCTGGAACATGTGCCTGGACAGAATTATTTCTATGTGATGAAGGAAAAGGAGTGCCAGCTGCTCCATCCTCTGGGTTCCTCTTGGTTGGCAATGGCAAATTCTCTGTGGATGGGTCTTTTTTATATCCTGCATCCTGTCCTGCCAACAGTCACGATGGTGTCACCTCAGCCTTCTTCCTTTGCAAATTCAGGGCAGGATGGCTGCTCACTCTCTTTGCTTCTTTGCTTTAAGTGCCTTCCTAATCTTTCATAGTCTGTTTTCTTGTTGGTTTARCAGTAAGAGATGGTGTTTTCAGTGCTCTGACCTTCTTGCCATTCTCATTACCAGTTGTCAGCAGTTGCCAACAAGTCTATACCGTGACCTTGATGCAAGCAGCATTTCTYGGTGTTTACCACTCTTCTGTTGCTGTTACTTGTGTCCTTGGCTATCAGCGTTTGCWTTTTTTTTATCTGTTCCTCTTTTGTTTCATCTCTCAACTCGTCAAATGTGTGTTTCCATTTGTCTCCTCCTCAGTGTTCTTTGGAAATCTCTCATACAAAGACAGCTGGCATTACTGGTTAGCGTTGTAAAGATGCGTTGGAGATGCAGTTAAATTTGACGAGACTGCTGCTTTACTGAGTTTGTGGCATCCTTTCTGATAGCAGGGAGAAGGCTTAAATACCACAAACGTAAGCACTGAGCGTTGTAAGGAACTACCAGACTTTTGGATTAACCAGCTTTATCTGTCTTTCAGTTGAGGACAGTATTCCACTTGATACAGCTATACAAATCCTGGAAGGAGATGATGAGGCACTTCACTTCCCAGTCAAAGACTCAAAAGGCATGTTTCAGACCTACAGGAAAATGTATCTGGAAAAAAAATGCAAAAGCCTGGATAGCGTTCCTGTCTCATAGGTCTGTCTAGAAATCCTTGGGAAAAAAACTGCCAATACCGAAATATATTTTCCCTATTTGCTTCATGTTTGTGAATGACTTTACATTTTATATATTCTTGATGTTGGCAGTTTTTTTTTTTTTTAAATCAGCCTCATATTTTGAATGACTGAGATTTCACTTACACGTTCTGTATTTGTTGCACAAATAGAGTTTGGTGCTGGAGATGTCACTCTCAATTGTATTAGCCTTTTTTTGGCATATTTGCATCCTTTTTTTTGGTTCTAAGTCTAGGAGTTAGCTCACTTTATTAAAAAAAAAAAAAAAAAAAAAGGCACGTTAACAAACCTCAAGTTCATGTCAATTGTCGTAAACTGTTTCTTTCCTGCTTCTGGAAAACTACTTGTGATGCTTTCCATTGCTGGCAGTGGAAAAATATTCCTCGTGGAAAGGGATTGCAGTGGATCCTCAAGCATTATACCTTTGTTTTCTCCTTGGAGTCTGATTGTCGTAATTCTACCAAGGCTATTTTTTCTTTTTTTTAAACATCTTAAGAGTACAAAATTAAAACACACAGAGCAGGGGATACCGTGAAGTATTTATGCTGCTACCAAGTTTTGTTGTGTTTGTTTTCATAAAGCCTGCAGAAACTGAGCTCTGAATTCTTCATTTAAATAGCAGGCTGTTTACTGATGTTTACCCAAAGTGTTTTTTCCCTCAATTTTTGTCTCTCTCTCAGCTGTCTTTGCACTGAAAGAAAAGCGCAATTGTTGAGGTCGAGGGAGTTTGAACTTAGTTTTGTCTAAACTGTGTTGCTCACTTTAACCAGGCTGTAATTAATTTCTTTGTTTATAAACAATGTTAAATAATATTTTACTACACTTTGACTGTGACATAAGAGTTATATTTGTTGCTCRATTTTCTTTAAAGTGCCTTTTCATTATTGTTCAGAATTTTAAATTGAATAGTATTTTTTTCAGAATTGTGGTATTTGATTCTTTTTGTCTGTTTAAACCTTTATACTGAAAGTAAAAACTGTAGATACTTTACTGACTGATTTTTATACCTGGAATAAAATTTTGAGGGCTTGCCTTGCCTTTTTTAATATAAATAATAACTAATTGTTTATTGCAGTTAGTTAAATGGAGATTGAAGATATTCCTAGAAATGAAAAGCAATTTTAAAATAGTTCAATGACATATCTTCTTCTCTGAAAGGTTTTRTAGTAAAACGGAGGACACCACTTCAGTTCAAGCGTTTGTCAAAGAGTAGTTATTATGTAGTTATTACTTTCGAAATTGCATCAGGAATGTTTTTCTCTTCAGCATCTTTTGTTACTGCTTTGAATTGGTGAATTAGGATCAGAGCTCAAAAAGCCTTCGCTATTACTSCATTCCTGAGGAAAAATGCTTGCAGGAATCTGTCACAGCTTATGGGGATTTACTGGAAGAAGAGAACTGTAACTATATAGAAAACTGGATAACTYGAGGATCGCTGGGCCTTACCATGAGCGGGATCTGTGCAGCATGTTGTGCTCCCAACAGAGGTCTGTCAGGTGCTCGTAAGATCTTGGGGTTTCAGGCACCTGAATGAACGTGAGCAGAATCTTCTGCTTTCACCTACGGAAAGAGGACGACCACACTCTGCTAGGATGTTCTGGCAGCAAAGAAGGGTGAAWCTTGGAAATACTGGTTTGCTTTCCGAAGTCTGAAGAGGAAAGCAGTAGATTCAAGTCTTTCTGATAATTTCCTCCATACAGGCACTTCTGTAAGAAGCTGATTCATGGCCTTGGCATAAATTACATGCATTTTGTCTCCTATCGTAAGAAAACTCATGCATATYTCTTAGCATGTACTTGAAAGTGATGTGCAAGCAGGTCAGTAGAGTGGGAGTCCATGTTAACAGCAGGGTAACAACTTGGACCTGCTTAACCCCAACACTGGTACTTCCTTTGACCACATATGAACAAACATGCTCTAATTTCCACAGCCACTTGCTTAACACAAATGTCATGATCATGTCACGTCGTACACTTGTATTGCCATGTGTCCAGACATGTTGTGACCCAATTTCGAGAACCTGGAGCAGAACAAGGATCAAGAGCAACACGTGCAGGAAAGGACGCTGCCAGGTGCTGGGCTTGGGAGCTTGGAAGAGTTTTGCCAAATTAAGAAATTTGGAGTGGACTGTACTTTCCTTCCCAGCTATTTTAAGTACCTTTTTTTTCCTTAGTGTCACCTCATTACCTGAATGCTGCTGGGCAGCCTGCACAGAGGTATATGTGCCGAYGTATGCCCCTGCATCTAGTTATTTAATAGTTTAACTGCAGTGAGTAAAGAAAATGCATGTTTCTTTTGCTTGAAAAGTACAGAGAAGTGWGTCCTGACTCCTTGCAGAAGCAAGATTCACTGTTGACAGAAGCAATAGAAATAGTCGAGGAGATTTTGTTGCACGAATCACCTTTAAACTGCATCAGAATTAGTTTGGCACAGAGAGCTGCTTGTTCATGCTAAAAAAAATAAGGTAAGGCTTACTGCCTAAGCTAGGCAGTACCAGCACAAACCCGAGAGGCTGGTTATATTTAAGTGCATAGTGTGTTCTCAGGAGGACTTCAAGCAACAGACAATAATGTAGCTTAAAAATGACAGGCTATACATGCAGAAGGACTAGCATAAAAGCTCTACCTCGTGTAAAATTATTCTGCAGGTAACGAGAAATAGGAGGCTGTTCTTAGGCCCCAGTGGCCAATAGACTGTGGCCTACCCTGGAAACACATCTTGTAGGACAGTCAAAGAAGAGTCAAAAATATGTGACAAGTACAGGGGCCTTAACTCGCTAACTGGATGCCAGTTTTCATGTGACACGACCACCACAATAGTGGAATAGATATTTACTCCCACAGACCTATCTGSAAGATTAGAACTGGATCAGGGAGCACAGGTATAGGTAACTTCTATGAAAATGTCAATAAATGTTACGGGTAAGAGATTCATGTTCCTTTGCCACCCTTAATGCAGGAGGAAAAGACGAATGGAACCCTAGTACCAGTATGGAGCTTGTCTTTCTCATGAATACAGACAAGATTGGCTGCTTTCAAATATGAGCAAATATCAAAGCACTAAAACAAAAGACAATAGCTGGGCAGATCACAGAGGCAGGAAAATGCAGGCTTTTTTGGTTAACTGGGATCCCTTTGCCAAGGGATATTGACAGAAAGAAAATGATCTGGTCTTACTGATGTGGAATCATTCGTGTAGTGGTAGATATCCTCAGGTTATGTCAGAGGCTGTAAGACATTGTTAATTTGTCAAGATCTATAAACAAATGTCCCTTAATGAAGTTTGCCATTTGTGTTCAGTGGTGCCCCATCCAGCACMGTTACCGTTAAAGTGCTCTGTGCAGTCTCCAGTGTATTAACTGCGTAGCATTTTTGCCAATATTGGAATTGCTTTGATAAATTGCAGTAACTGATAAATTGGCCACTGTCCATTCCGACAGCTGCTGGGAGGAAAAGACAAGCAAGGAGCAGCGTTGTGGCTGCAAGGAGTAGCTACAGGGAGCAGAATAGAAAGCCTGAAGACCATCTGCTCTGTAGAAGCAGCCTTGATATACACATAAATGTCACAAGTTAATATCAGATCTCTTGCTGTGGTCAGTCTGGCTTGACACTGCCCTGCATGACAGAGGGCTGACCACACTCCAGCGCTGTCTGCTTCACCTGGGGGCATCTTCAGTGGCTACAGTATAAAAAGCAGCTTCACCAACAAGAAAAACTTTCCATTGAGAAACCTGATGTTGCCCCTCTGCGTTTCTGTTCTGCATCCCATGCATGTAACTGTGTTGGAACAACTTCTGAGCTGCAGGCACATCTAAAGTGRAATTCCTCTCTGGTATGAGCTTAGATCTCTTCCTTCAAGATTTAGGCATGCATATGAGTCCCCTCTATTTTAAATTTTGAAGTGATATTGCGAAAAAAAAAAATTTTCCTTACAGAAATAAGGAATTGCATGAATAAAACACAAAATTCCGATGGGCTTTAATATACGGAGGTAACTTAGGAGTATGCATTTCAATATATAACTACAGGTCAGTACTGAGGATTTAATGGTTTTCTAAATGCTTTTGATTTCCTGGTGTTAATGTCAAATGACATTTATCTGTGTGTATTCTGGGTAAAGCACTGTCATCTGCTGCCTAAATGAACTGAGAAAAAGCTTGATCTGTTGTAACGAGCAGGRCAATAAGAAAGAGATATTTAGTAAATGACTGTATCTTGCAGATACTTGAACTAGATTTACTTGTGAGCGCTAGTCCTAAAATGCTTTTAAGTAGCATTATTTTGGCATTGGGATAACGGATTTGCACACACAATGTAAAGGAAGCCTCTCGGGGGAAAAACAGGGAGTAAAGTGATGAGTSCTACTGCCATGTGGCAGGGATGCACCTTTTCCTGGGTGAATACACATGGCTTTAAGCTTTACTGGGCTTCTGGGATACTTTACTCCATCTGAGCTATGAAACTCCAGGGATTTTTCTATTCTCAATGTTTATTCTCAATTCTGGTTTGAATGCAGTTTGTTGAAAGGAAAATGTGCACTGAAAATGTGCTGCTTTACTGCTGCTTGAAAAATCAGCATGAGTCCTTGACTTAATCAGGCTGAGATGTCCCTTTAGTTCTGACTATATTCAGCATTTTAATGGGATAGAGTCTGGTAAAATATCCTGAGGGCAGAACATGCTAACAGCCAGCTAATGCTTTCTTATTTATTTAATAACCTGGAAGTATGAATTTTGTTCTGGTAGCATAGATAATTGGAAGTGGAAAATCACTTCACCCCGAGGGAGCAGAAAGCCTTTCTGCATGAGCAGCGCAGGAGGAGGTGAGGAACATGCCAAATCCCTGCTAGCCCGGGGCCAGGATGTTACATTGCCACGTAGTCCGTGTCCTCACAACAGGCACGCTTTATCTCCTCGGAAGTCCGCAGGAATATGTGATGTCAGTAACATATCTAAACCCCAGGAAAGACTCTCTTTTTTTCTTTCCCAAGACATAGAAATGACAGAAGTACAGTAAGAAAACTCATCATGTGACAGTATTTATTTGCTCAAGGGTTGCTGAGACTGTTTCACGAGCAGAGCACAGGAGGCTCCCAGTAACCCCTGACTGTAGTTCCCGCACCGTGAGCTCATGTGTGGTTTTCATGCTCTTGAAGGTTATTTTTTTTATCATTAAACAACAGAACAGCCTCTAGCGGGAGAACGCAAAGGCAGTTTCTAGCCCTACAGTCCGTTCTTCCAACAAATAATGTGTCCAAAAGAAACTTTAGGTTTGGTTTCCTCACAGAGATGGTTTTACCACTTCTTGTGTTTCTCGCTGATTTTCTTGCTCATATTTTCTATTGACTTTCAGGGTTGGCTATGCCAGACTCCATCCACTCGGTCCCATGGCTCCTGCTTTGTAACTAGTGTTAAGAAAACCCATCACCCTGACTAGATTAGCCCATATCATGTCAATAGGAAATAGCACAGCAGAACCCAGCTCCAAAAGGGACCATAGCAGAAGTGAAGAGTGTGTGAATGCTGCTCAATAAAATGTGCTTACCTATGAACAGCTAAGTATTTCCAGATGCCTACTTGGGATACATGGATTATATATTCATGTTAAGACATGAATTAGAAGACATTGAGAAGTAATTTTCCTCCTGTGCTGAATTCTGTTCCTCCATGGGTCCCTTCAACATGTAACAGGGTTTCTATTAAGAGCTCTATGATAGATTGAGTAATAGTCATCTCTGTGAGATTCACCACCAAATGGCAAATCAGTAACACAGACAACCTCCAGCTGTCATTTGTATGTCCTAAGTTGTATGTCCTAAGTTGTATCTAGCATTTGTACGTCCAGTTGTATGTCCTAAGTTGTATCTAGCACATCCAAAGGGCCTCCAAAGGGGAGAGCAGCAGCCGTGTCCATCGTGTTGGGGAGGACAGACCCCCCAAATCTCCAGGTTGGGCTCCTGTGGCTGGGCAGGAGGGATCCCTGTGTCCTAGAGGCCACTAGAGGCAGCAGTCTTTGTGATGTCCCTTATCATAT